AAAGAGTGTTTTTGTGTTTTGTTTCCCAGTGTCTAACTCGAACCAATTTGATGGAGAAAAGGAAAGCTTTTCCCATAATGCTATATTACAAACAGCCACTAGAGGAGGTAGGAGACAAGCACATGTCTAATACCTGTCAGGCAAGGAATGATCCCCAGGGTCACTGACAACCCTCCAAACAAAAAGACTGAATTCACAACTGAGTAAATACTGCAGTAAATAGCACTAACTGGATGTTTCACAACAGACTCTGCCCTGCCAATGTGCATTTCATTAGGGTGATTGCTAGTCTGTGTACTCCCTTTGCTTTCCACTTCCCTGTCTGCCTACCCAGCTTCTACCTTGTTCTGATTAAAGGGGAACCTTGTAAATACACTGCCGCTGCCCAGACATGAGTTCCTCCTCAACAACAAAGTCACACAGAAGGTGTAAGCTGCTCTTATAGCCACAACATTAACCTTTGGCAGCCCCACATGCAATCACCCCGTAGCTCTGTAAAAACTGGTGTCAAGCCGGAGGAGCCCGGCAGAATTCTGGCTAATTCAAATCTTAATCAGCAGCGGTTATTACTATTAAGTTTAATGAGACAAGAAGACCATGACTCTGATATAAAAAAAGCAGTAACAAATGAGTGACGATTCCTCTAACAAACATACGACAATAATGCTAATTAACACCAAAATGAAAGATTATTATAGCCGATTTTCAGTTAAACAGTAAATGTTGCTGCTAGATGCTAGACAGATTTAATAGTCTAATGATTAAAACAGAAGTTAAAATGATAGTTGTTTATCCCCAGATGTCAACCCACCCACCTATTATAGAGATAAATGCTGTTGTTAGCTCTCACGCTACTGTCGGGAATGCTAGTGAAACTTGAATAAACTTGAAACTTGAATACCTCAGTCATAAATACAGAGATAATGACTGTCAGGAGGACAACAGAATGTATTTCTGTATAAACAAAGCATCATTATAAAAGTGTATTTCAGCTTTGGAAAAGAGGGGGGGGGGGGTTGACCTGTGCGGTAAATGATGAAAACTATCTGTGAAGTTGTATAGTTTATGGGTATCATTTATGGTTTGTCAAACATTGCCTTGAACTGACGACTTTCTGATGGGAAACCCAGACACAGGGTTAGAGCACACAAACTCACACATGCGCAAAGAGCAGCTGTATCTGCAGCAAGCTAAAGAACAACAACTGTTGGTTGGATTCACTTTGAATACGACTTCTTTTGAAAGGTGATTGGAGAATGTAGCTGCACGCGTTTACATATTACTCCTTAATTTTGTACACATAATTAAATGTCATTTATTTAAAGTAAACTGTCTTAAAGGCTTTGTTTTGTTCATTTGAATGATAAAACATTGGTGTAAAACTTGCATAGCACAACCCTTTCAAAGGAACAAACAATATAAATACAACTTTGGTCAAACATTTTACACTATATCATAGATCATAAATACAAAACATTAGGCATTCATATATTTCCAGCACTATATTATAGGCTCTATAAATGAAATGGAGTGAAAAAGTGTTTGCTATAATAAAATGTGAACAAAGTTTTAATTACAACATAAACTCTTCATTGTTTGGTAGGTCAAGCTGCCTTGAAGACCCCACAAACCTGAATTTTGTATCTGTCAAGGCAGATCACTTTTGTAGAACGGAGATTAAAAGAATGCTTTAGTGACATGTTTTATTTGGCCTGAGTTGCTGAAACACTCATTTATCCACGTAAGTGTACTAAGTGTCTTAATATGAAGGCTCTTTTGAACACGAGGCACTGTATCAGATGAGTAGCAAGGCTCCGAGGAAAAGTTGTAGTGAGTATTATCGTTCCCAGTGCATGTCCTTGTCCAGCTCAATTATTGCAGAAGCAAAAAAATAACAAGTATAAACAGCTGGACAGTAACACCCCTCCTCATATAGACAAGTCATGTAAACAGGCAGTCCAAAGGGGGCAAGAGGACAATTTATTATTATTTTTAAATCCTCACTGGGAAAAATTTGACTTGAAGTGCTTGCAAAGTTGATTCAAGCACATATAAACAGTGATGTGTATGTTTTTTTTTAACCTCCATGTCCATTCCTGGGAATCCTTGAAAATGTACTGAAACACATTTCATCAAAGTCAGTGATATTTCCACAGTTATGATAAATGGTACATACTGTAGCCCAGGGGCGCAGCATACAGTCCTAACGGAGAAATGGGGAGTATGGGTCTGTCATGGTGGTGGTGATAGGCAGAGTATGACTGTCTGTACAGTGACATCGTGCCTAGGGACAGCGGTACTGTAAGGCCAGGGTGTAAAGCTCCAGAGGCAGGGGGCAGTCTTGGCATCAGCAGCCATCTTGAGTTTTTCCAGCTCTGCCTCTTGGAGCCTCTTGGCTTTTGCACGGCGATTCTGGAACCAAATCTTCACCTGGGTCTCTGTCAGGGTCAAGGAGGAGGAGAACTCGGCCCGCTCGGCGATGGACAGGTATTGCTTCTGCCTGAACTTCCTCTCCAGGGCTAGGAGCTGAGATGTGGTGAAGGGAGTACGGGGCTTTCGGTTGGTTTTGTGTTTCCTCAGCTGACAAGCAGGATTGAGGTGACCTGGGAAAAGAAACAATAAGGAGTTTAGAATAAGGAGTCACTTTGTAGTTTGTATTGATCCATTTGATGTTACAGTTATGATTTTATTGTGGATTTAGGATCCTTCTTGTAGGTTATACTCTGATCAGATGGCTATAGGTCCTTTAACTTAAAGTTGAAAGCTGGATATCAGGACTCACTTTTATCTTATAGCCTAGGCAAATTTTCACTGGTGTGAAGTTCAGCAGCATCCTGGTTTTATCTACTTTGTCTTTAAGTCGGTCCAACAGGAGACATTACTGCAGCACGTCTTATGAAGAATCATATTCCATTAAACTACACAACTTGAGAAAACATGTCATCTACGGTCTGCTGACTTGTTCTAGCTTGACTAGTAGTGGCTTTAATATCGTAGGCAGCAGGAAAAAAGAGTTAAATAATCTACAAAACCATATGAATTTCATGAGTGTGGGATGAACCTACGCGGCTGTGTGGAAAACGTACTGTTGCTGACCCAGGGTGCGCAGTCTTCGGGCTCTGATGCCTCGGATTTTACCGGCGACGAAGGTACAACCGTTAAACTCCTTCTGCTTCTCCCGGGAGGGCTGCACGCCTCTCGACACTGATACAAAGCGTTTAAACCTGTGGAAGACACTGCAACCGACCCCCCCTCCAGTTTACAGCGGGTGGACTCTCCGCCGCGGCTGTCCATCTTCCTCTCGGACATGAGCGCCTCCACGCTGAACGGGTGACACCGACGCACCACGGGGGATGTCTTTTCCTCCGCTGTCCGCTCTGTCAAGTCCGTACGGTTACTGTCCTCCTCGGGCGAGCTGCACCTCAAATCGTTAAAAGGCTCCTGAGACGCCATCTTTCCTCCTGTTCTCATCTAAACAGGTGAAACCCAAGCGGACGGAACAAAGTTGCGAGCGCAATGTTATGGAGCTGTCAAGTAGTACGTGGGAGTGTGACGACGCACGTTGACACAGCTCAACTTTGACCAATCACTGCCGTCCGAAATGTTTATGAGTGGGCAGATGTTGCCTTCAGGGACAATCGGACACAAAACACATTCGTTTTGAGTTGAGTGATGCAGAGCATAAGGTCCAATAAAGTTCTTCTTTTTCTTCTTGTCATTATTATTCTTGTTAATATTGGTGACCTCTAAGCACTTCGAAGTGCATGAGGTCATTTTTTTTTTTTGTTTTTGGATTATCTGATTTAGAAAGTTACGCGGAGTGCTTGAAATCAACACAATCCCTCACTCGTCACAGAGGTAGATCCAGGAGATATACAATACTTCTTATGCAGGTGAAAGTAAACAATTTAGTTTTTAATTTCATCTTTACTCAATTATATTTATCCAAGAAGAAATATTAGATTATTTTGGCAGGGTCTGTCACTTCTCCTATAGGAGTGTTCTAACAGCTGTTCAGTTTTTATAACAAAGTAATACATTTCCAGATGTGTGTGGAAATAAAGCTTTACAGGTCTGTAGGTTTTTAGAGGCTCTCTTGTTGCCTCTAGTGAATTGGAGGAAATGTGCTTCAAAAATAATAGCGTTGCCTCAACACTATCACATGCTAAGCTTCAGTAATGGATTAACTCTAACTGTAATCTCATGAGACTTGATGTGTAAACACAGGCCCCATGTGGATAATCATGGAGAATTATACCCATGATGAAACAGTGATCCACTTTCTTCTTAATTTATCCCTTCTATTTGTCTGTTGCTCCCTTTATTGGGACTTTCCAGTTGTAACTCATAATGCTGTTGTGTGCTATGGCAGTCCAGCATTAAAAGAAGGGCGTCACACTCAAATTACAGACTATATTACTTAGCTAAATTATAGATTTTTTTTTTAGACTCATCAGATCAGTCCAGCTGGTGTCTGAAAACTAGATGAGACATTCACATATCTTTCTCCATGTCTGTAGCCGAATCATTCATCATCTTGTCCTATGATTCAGTCCCATTCTTTACACACATTAGACATGAAGTACCTCATTGTGATTTTTATGAAGTAACTTGTAATTTCCCCCAAATTCTAATTTTATCAAATGGAAGTGCCCTACTTTACAAGCTTTCCAGTAGTTTAGCTAGGAAAAAAAAGATCTGTTGACAATGCTAGGTTAAGTATTTATTTGCCTAATTGCTCATATTTAACACTACTGATTGCTAATTGGAACCATTCAGTTTCTGAATGATAATTAATCACAGTTTCACATTACAAGCTCCTACTCACAGTCATAATCTGCCAATAGAGACAGTGAGAGAGTGTGTTTGTATGCGTGTCCATACACAGTCTGTGGTGCAGAACTACAATTTTACAGGTTCCAGTCCCTCAACAATAAGCTTCCTTGTGATTTGTTTTCCTTAAAACTCACTGAAGGAAAAATCTCGCATAATAACTTTAGAGAGAAAAAGAGAAATTTACATGACTTATTTTTCAATATAACCATTCTTTAAAAAGCACACTGTATTTTTCAGTTATCACTGAGGTTAGATTTAGACATGCATACAGTAAATGCTCCATTTTTTCCTCCGTTTTAAAGTGTAGCCAACAGGCCTGAATAGCTATGTCAGGCTGTGCAGCAGGACCCAGTTCCCAGGAGGCTGCTGTCTTATTAAAGTGGAGTTATTTCACAGACAATCGGAGGCTTGTGAAGGCGCCAGTGAGCGGCCAGATGAAACGACTGACTCCTCAAGGGAGAAACTGTTGCCTTTTTTCTGGCAGCTCTGTGCAGGATCCCCACCGTGCCTGCATGCCCCACAGGCACCTTGTCAGTCATTATTCACAGAATTCATTCTTGGTTGAATGTCAGTGGCATGTTTCTTCATTTCCTCCCTCCTGTCTTCTTCCTTGCACTCTGCTGTGCCTGCTAACTTTAAAATGCAGTAGATGAAGATGCATCACTAGTCTTCCTTCATTCTTTCATCCTTTTATTTCTACATGTCTGTGTCTCTGATTTACCTTTTTTAACTTTCTTTCCTCATAAAAACTTTATTCATGCACTTCCCTGATGTCTATCATCCTAATAACCCTCGATTCCTTTCTTACATCCTTTCTTTTTTTAAATTTTGTCTTTGTCTCCTTCAGTCTGTCCAAACCCTCTTTATTTTCTACTTTTTCATTATGTTTGATCTCATTGGCAATAAAAAAACATTTTAGTCAGACTGATTCCCGTTTACAAGTCTGTGTCCATCGTGGAAAAAGGTGACAAAAACAGGCACGCCACAATATTTCTTTGAACCCCATTACAAGAGTAAAACTGCCAGTTGCAGATATTCTTATTACATTAACCGCTGGCATTTATTTAACTGGTTTATTTAGAAAACACAACCCATCTGGCACCAATACAGGGTACAGCCTCTATTGCATCACATCTATAAACAAAGTCAAGTTCAACTCAAATATCATACCCGAGGTGGTGTTCTAGATACAGTTTAAATGTGACTGAACTGATATAAGTATAATATTGCATTATGTTAAATATATTTTAGGCAAAGGATTTTGCAAGAAAAAGAAAAAAGGAAGCGGGGGGTAGAAATGACAGGGGTGCTCTCCTGGGTGTAGCAAAATTACCCACACATCCCACTTCCCTTTTTCCATAATATCATTTAAGCCTGATAATAGCTAAAGCAATTTGTCTGAACATGTTTGTGTGTGTGTGTGTGGCTGTTCGTACAGTACAATATGTGCCTGTTTGTGTGTGTGTGTGACAGAGAAGCTCGAGAAGCCTCTGGTTGTGTGGGTCGGGCACACCTCAGAGCATTGTAATTACAGCACAAGCTTTGAAGTGGTGGAATGTTTGGTTGGGATAATCAGCAGCCTGGGCTGCACTCACACACTATTTACATTCCCATTAAAACAGTCATGCATGCCATCACACCAGCAAAGTTTACTATCTGTAGTACTGTACTTGGTACAAAGCTGAGAAACTAATTTGTAAAATGAGACAAGTTACATTATGGAGATTAGTGGCTTTGCAGTACTGTTTCAGTTTGTACAGTAAATATACTATATGTAACTCTATACAGTTGTGGTTGGCGGCTTCGCTTGAATTTTGCTGCTTTCTTCCCTTTTTTAACATTCTGACCTCCTCTGTAGGCTACATTCACATTACAGGCCATAAAGCTCAATTCAGATTTCAACTGTGCATAAATTAAACATTCATGAACTTTTCAATCTTTTTTTTTTATTTTGCTGGTATAATGATGATTGTACAAGAAAGACTTAACTGGCTTAACTGAATCAGGGATTTAAAGACTGGGGATGTTGTTCTGTATATTGTTTGTAAAGCCCTTTAAATCCAATTTGTGACTTTGGAATATAAAATAGATGGTCAGTATTGTAGACCACCAGGACAACCATAGCTGTCTATTTAATTTAATGGGTAACATTTTTCTATTTAGCAATTACAGACAAAGTAAATAAACTTTTAACAAATTGCTCATTATAATGTAAATGTAAGTTAATTCATCTATTTGTGGGCAAACAAATGGAGGCTGGTGTATAGCCAGATAATGACTGACAGTGTGGTAAAACTATTTTGTAATAAAACCTTTTTGTATGCAAAGTTGACAAATTTTGTACATTCATAAACACTTAAATTGTGAAATTGTGCAATAGCTAGGCAATAGTTTAGTATGTTTTAAATTATTAGTTGTTTATATATTGCTTATAAAGGCTAAATTGGGGACTTAAACTGATGTTTCTGTGCTTTTTATTTTTTGGTTATCCAACCAGGAATTAATTTACTAATTTAACCTCCATAGCCCACAAAGGGTGGGTGACATGACTGATCAGTAGCATGATCTTAGTATTATTTAAAATATCAACTATAAAACGTGTAAACATTGCAAACATAAACTTCGTTAACTATTTTTCCTAAATTTTGTGTGTTTGAATTGACTTGGATCACACAATTTTATAAACACAGTAGAGCAGTGACGTGCGGTCAGGGGAGGCAGGTGAGGCAGAGCCTCCCCTGTCAATCTTGAAAAGAAAAAAAAAGTTAACCATAAAATATAATAAATGTTAATATTTGTCAGCTGGTGTGTGTTGTAGGCCCTTTTGCCGTTCGAATCTGATGTTGAATAAATAATAAAAAAACAGACAGTTTGTTAACGGTTCATTTGTATTTGTAAATCTGACTGTAAAAGAGTCAGTGCCTCACCAGCTGTCAACCTCACCGCACGTCACTGCAATAGAGTCATGATGTGATTTCACTGATACTCAGTTCTGCTTTGTACAACACATCTCTCATCTACACACATCCAAAACTGCACATAGTACTGCACACTCAGTTAAATTACATTCTTCTCGGTGAGACTACTAACTTGTCAGACCAGCAGGACATGCTGTAAACAACTGACACATGCACACTCAACGTAATAACATTTTGACTCAGATCCAAATTATCTTATTACCATCACCCCCACTCCCCGCCCCACCCTGAGCTTCCTAAGGCCTCAGAACCTCCGCCTGTAATGCACCTAAATGACTACCTTGAATGCTACAATGGCGCCAGAACCAATTAACTGGTAACACTGGAGACAGATCTATTCAGAGGCCAGAGAATGAGGCTTCCTGTAATGTGAAAGACTGATGCCCACTTTGTTAATGACAAGAGAAGGAGGTGAACTGCTGCTTGACTCAGCCCCTGGCTATGTTACAGATAGTCAGCTGATTACTGCGAGCCTGCAGCGGAGGGCTCCCGAGAAAATCGGCAGTGAAGTGTGTCACTTTACAAGCTCATGGAAGCCCGATTGAAGGCAACAAAGTACGTACTGTATTTGGGCTGTATTACAAAATATAACGTGAAATAGCAGGAATTTATCAACCATAAGAGATTTTGCTCTATTGTACGAGTTATCTATACATTTAATGCAGGTTGCTGCATTAGTCATGCATGTGTACATGCATGTGTGCCCAGTGCGAAGCATTCTAATGCACAAAGTCATGTAGCAATGTGGTGACAAACATCACGCTCACAGATG